TAAGGAACCTTGTATTAAATTTTCAAGTTTTTTTGGTCGTCCAACATTTTTTTACCGACACTTCAAAAAAAAATTCTCAAAAAAATCGAAAATTTCAGTAATCTATAAATAACTCAAAAAAATTCAAAGTTTTTGAAAATTAAACTGTATATAGATATCACTAACATAAACATTTGGTGAAGTATTTATAGTGATTAGTTTTTCAATTACAACCATCTAAAAAAATCGATTTGGTCGAAAACGGGTTTTGCGTAAAAATTCCCGTTTTTCTGTCATTTTTTTTGTTTTTCTCGATTTTTTTGAAAACTGTTGGCAAATGTTTAATTTTGACCTTTATAATGCACCAAGGATATTCACTTTTACATCGGAAAAAYCACCCCCAAAGTTTGAAATCGAAGCATTATTTCGACGAGYTAAACTGTACTGCACAGACACACACAAAAAAAAAACACACATCATTGTAAAATCAATACATTCATCACTTCGTTCAGAATTTAAAATAACAAAGAAATGTTTAAAAAAAAATTAAGTAAACATATAATTAATAATAAATATAAACATTTGGACTTCTGTCTTCAGACGAAACTAAATAATTTTATATTAAATAATATAAACTTCTAAAAATAGTTATGGGTGGACAATGTCTGCATCAAAAAATGTATCGGATAATATTTCTAAATACACCGAAAACAATCAGGGGAGGAATGGGGTATGTCTATTTGATTGGAGACTTATAACTCGTACCTACCACATTTTGATTTCTCATAAATTTTTAAATAAATATATTATGTACGATATAATCAAAAATTAAAAATGGCAACATCGCAGTTTTTTATGCTKAATCATGTAGGTTTTATTTGTACTGCTACATCTTTTGACACATCGACAATTTTGTTCAATTATACTGTAAATAGGTATTTTAATCGTGCTGTAGCCTGTTGTCCATCCTCGCCTTATTACAGAGTACCTCATATTGGTGCATTATTAAGTTCATAGGTATACACACAGATGGAACGAATCCTKAATAGTTCCGTCGGTGATAGCTTATCGCTACACCTGGCAATTTATTTAAAARGCTCAAACTGTAAAAATAATTTTGAAAAAATGTCGCTTTTCTGTACAATAAGTTACAAGTCGGTTACTGTAATATATGACATTAAATTTAAATTAAACTATATAATGTCATTGTAGATGAAAAACCATTCTGAACGGAGATGATTTGTCAATTTAGGATATTTTAATATTATATTGTTATTATTTTAAAAATAAAATAAAATATAGGTATCTATAAAATTAATTCCAAATAAATCAAATCAGAGTCATTATGTACTCGACTCACTCAGTCATGTATAGTTTAAAGCAGTGGTCTCAAACATAAGTACAGCCCGCGGGCCACCTGTGCCCTGTGGTCCGCATACCCTTCATACGTGGCCCGCAATAAAAATATTTTTGGTAATAGTAATTATAATAACAGTAATTTCATAATATATTAAGTTAAATTTAGATTAATGGATTTTGTATGTATCTTTGCCTTCATTTTGTCTTTAGTTTTTAGTGTATAAGTATAAAAATGACACTTAAAATTTGGCCCGCCAATTTTTTTGAAAAAATATATGGCCTGTAGGTAATTTGAGTTTRAGATCACTGGTTTAAAGTGTTAAAGTAYAATATACTTTATAGTATATACTATATATTATATAATATTAGTATAAGTCATTTACTAAATTAACTATTACAATTAGAATATAAAGTATACTCTAGAAATTTCAAGTACCTGCTAATAATAAATAAAATATTTCGAAATTTAAATCATGTAAAGAAAATGCAAATCTAAATAACTGGTGAAATTTTCAAGTATCTACGATACTTTTATTACTAATATCTACGATTATTAGTTTTTTT